ACAATCAATCTTGTTTTAATAATAAAAATCTATTATTATTATTTGTTTAATGAACATTATTCAATATATATCATATATCATTATTCATATGTTTTATTTTATATTAAAACTTAATAAAATTGTTTCAGATCTTGAAGATTTATTATTATATCAGATATGACATTAAATGGTGTTAGTAATCAAAAATTAAAATGATTGGTACAGGCTGTAGTTTAGAAGATGCGTGTCGGCAGGCTCAGGTATTGTAGAAATTAATATTTTGGTGGTTGCCAATGGAGAAATTGCATGTATTTGTATTTTCATTTGCATTCCTTATTTAGGATATGATTAATCAAGTGTCTAAGTGTTGGAAAAGTGTTCAAGGACAAAATTCTTTGAACATAACATCTGACAAGTCATCCACTCAAAAAAAAGAACAGAGTCATTCTAAACATAGCATACAGTCTAAGCTAACTAGATTATATTTTGAAGAACTTACCAAAGTTCCTCATGCCACTCCTGATTCAGTTCTGGTATGTGTATTTTTTATACATTTTATACATCCATGAGAATAATTATACCAGATATAAAAAATTGTTTCAATTTTTTTAATTGTACAGAACAACCTTGAAAATGAATGTGATCTTTTGGGAAGATTGGTGCAAAGGGAGGGTTTGCATACATTAATTGTTAATCTCTATGCCGGTAATAAAGGATACTCATTAGCTGTAAGAAATAGGTGAGCAATTTATAATGATAAATCAATAGTTTATCAACTATCTCAAACCATGAAGCATAAAATGTATAAATCTTTCTAAAGATCTGAAAAAGTTTTAATCACGTGATTTTTATTTAACAGTGATAAGGGAAATCAATATGATAAAAATACAATATTAGCTGAAACACAACTGATGGGTTATGAACAGGGTGAATTGCTATCGTGTATAGATAATGGTCAGTTACCTGCAATGTTAGCAGAGCAACTGGAATCCAGTCATTCTCATTTATTTTATGACGGCTGTATCATAGCTGAAGTTCGAGATTACAGAAAAGCATTTCCTCATACTAAAGCTGAAGTTCATCATGTGCTTCTTAAGCCTACAACACAGGTAAAAAATGTTTTGCTACCTTGACTGAATACCTGTTATGAAGAACTGAATAAATTAATGTATCTTCTGTAATATTTTAGAGTGTACTCTCTGATGTATCAACTTTAACTAGTGATGGAGACTGGAGTCATGAAGAACGGTTAATGTTAGAATCACATTTAGTTGCAGCTACCCAGGGACCTCTATGCTTGGATCCAAATCCTATACCTAGTTTAGCTACAACAAGACTACGACAGTCTAAATCCCTTCTTACAGATCATCAACTTATGCGACAAGCCAAAAAGTTTTCTCAGGTAATTCAATTTATATTTTTTGAGATTCTCATATGTTATATACTCGTATTTTTCAACCAACAATATTTAGGTATATTATTCATTGCAGGTCACAGTAAATCGCAAAAGAAAATTGGAGCAATTAGCACAACCGGAAGGATTAACAATACAAGACTTAATGCAAAAATTAAGAGCTAAGAGGGGAGTAGTTACAACCACTGCCTGTCCACCGCCTTCTCTTACAAATCCACCTTTACTTCCTCCAAATTCACCTATTGACGTTCTAAGGTTTGTTACATTTTCACAGAAATTTTTTCTTCATACAACTCGTTATATTAATTTCACAATGTTCCATGCATAACAGATTTGCAAAAGCATACGAGCGCCCTCGAGAAACAAAAGACTGTTTGCCACAAGTTATAGAGGAGTATATATTAGAAACTGGAGGAAGTCAAGGTGAAATAGATCACATAAAGCTCTCAATTCTGCAAAGACCTTCTAATTCCGAGTACCTGGGAGAGCTTTATATGGACAAGAACCATCGTGAAGGAGAGAAAAATGGATCTGCGTGTCGGTCTGTATATTTTTAACATAGATATTCATTTGGTTTTTATTAAATCAGAAAATTTAGACAAGGATGTACGTGTTGTTTAATCTTTCTATAGGTTTACATTAGGTACAAGAGTTCTTGCAAATCACTATATTCAGCAGTTCACAGAAATTTTCACTGAAGAAGGTAGGAAAAATGTTCGAATAAAACATGTTGTACCAGGGCAGGTCCCTCGTGTAACATGTA